TTGACAGAAAGCAGTTATCTTTTAAGCTTTATTAGTAACATTAAGTACTTCCATTTCTTCTGCATACTATGTTGTAGAAAATCTTTTTTAAAAAAATAAGAAAAATGTTGTTACTTTAAATACATAAATTTCTATGTTATGCACTGTTAAAAAAATTAATGTCAAGTTAAACAGTATATATTATATATATTTGTCTATTATCCATCATAGAATTGTCACTGATAGTGAATATGTAGGTGGATAAAGACAAAAACTCAACTTTGTAAATAGAATGCACACAAAATAGCTTCAAATGGGAGAAACAGATAGAACAGTAACAACATTTATTTTTAAAGTTTAAAAACCCCCATATGTTTATGAACATGTAAAACATAAGGCCAACTTAAAGTTTTTTTACATCACCTGTCTCTAGTTTGGTATCCATGCCTCAGAAGTTTGTTAAATAGAATTTTACATTCAGCAAATGATTGCAACATGCTGTGACCAATGAACAAAGCGAATTACCTACAGGTGGTGCTATGATCCATCATTTTTTAGAATAAAATTTTAGCGTAATTTAATTAAAAAAAGGTAAGATTAAGAAATGTAAAGAGATATCTCTCCAGTTTTTCAAAACCTTTGGATAGAAACCAAATATATATATTTTTTAATATGTCTAATGTCAACTAACATTAAGGTTCTGAATTGGAACAAAAGTATGACACACACACACACACACTAAATAAGTATTATTAATTGAACAATTGCAAACAGTGACTGCGTATCTAGATTCCCTCTTTTTACATTTAATAATGGAACAATATCATCCTCTAATGTATTATGGGAAAGTTCTTTATATTATAAATATATAACAAAAAGTTTCTAAGTGTTGTTTGTATTCACACTTAAAATATTTTGTTTAGAAATTAAACATATGATGTTAATTTTCTGATACCTTCTTGAACTTGTTTTTGCGTTATTTACAAAGGTTGTGGTTTTTTTACGTTACTTAAAGCCCACTTTTATCATGTATTTAGTCATACATCCTTCATGATTTTTAAGTTGTGGATGTGAATAATATGTAAATATAGATTGAAATTCTTTTTATCACTAGTTTTTTTTTGATGATTTTGTTATAAATTTATTTAACTGGGTCTGTAAATGTGTTTGTGTTTATATTATTTTCTTCTGTAAATATTTTCAAGCAGGAGATAATATGGGTTAGTTGTTGTGTATAAGAACATTATACTTGGTTGTTTCCTCAGTTGAGACTCAACTTTGTAACAAAATTTGGTACACCTGCATCATATACTTATTGCTTAAGGTTCATAAATAAAGTTGTATAATAATGCATGGTCCTTACGATCAGTGGATATAGTAAATGCTGTGTACAAGATAAATTTTCAAACCATATGCATTTGCTTTTTTATAATGTCAGTTGTAAAGTTGTCAAAATCTGAAGCTGAAGCTGTCAAAACAGAGCAGTACAGTGTAGTATGTTAGATATATGTAAAGTATTTTGATATGAGGTTTTTTTTGGGATATGTGAAAAAAGAGATTAAATTTTTGTGCTTTGAAATACATACTTAAATTATATATTACATAGGGAATTGCATAATGTATGCATACCACTTGTTAGGAACAAATTTTATGGATATAACCCGTCAAGACTAGTTGGTTATATTTTTTTCATCAAAAATTTAAGTTCACTGTTAAATGTAGCTTATTTAAAAAGACAAAATAAAAAAATCTTGACTTGTTTTGTGTATCATTCTCTACAGTGTATATGGGTGATTAATTGTGTAATGAAGAGATGTTGTAATAGTAAGTTAGAGCATCAGTATTAGTTAACAGAGTTGAGTGGTTAGTAGGATTTGTTAATTAATTAATCATCAGGTTCATTAACTGATTACATTCAACTAATTTTTTGCACATGAGACTTGGGTAGTTGGAATAATTGGAAACACTAATTTAGATTAGCTGATTATTTTTGTGACATTATTTGAGTTAATCAACCACCTCTATTAGTTTAATAGGGATCTTATTGTTAGATTAATTTACAAACTGTAAAATAGCTTACATTTTGTTGTTAAACATCAGTTATTGGGTAGGTGGATTGGAAATAGAGAATAAAGACTATAAAAAAAAAAAAGATGATGAGACAGCTTTTTAAGCACAAATAGGTTATTGGATTAAAACATAGATATATATTTTTAAAATAGATATATATATATACTAACTACATAAAATACCCAACTAGTTTTCACACACCAAGTATGTCATTATGAAACCAACTTCAATATGGTTAGAGGTAGTTCCTGGGTAAGTGAGGTGGAAGTGTGCTACAGTTTCTCGGAGTGGGTTGCATGGCTTTCAGGAAGTTTAGAAAGACAGTACACTACCTGCTCCTTGGTACCAGCAATTAAACTGTCATCCAGCACTATAATATCCCATACTTTAGCACCTGGCAAACAAATTTTAGTCCTAGTGTTTCTATGCTTCATACTATAAACATTATCCATATACTTAAGGAAAGAGAACTCCATTATGTAACCCCTTGCTCATTCTAACAAGTCTTGATACAAAATTATAAAAACCTGAGAGCTTTCAGGTTTTTACCATTTTGTATTAACTGAGTTTGTCATTACAGACTTACCTTTTTACAACTCTGTAACCTTGTAAACCGAACACTCGTATTCGCATCCTCCTTTACAGCAACCTTTACCCTAACTCTATCCATATCCTTTTTGGATTCCTTTCTATTTTCATCTTCTAATATTGTAATCTTTTTCAAAGCTATCCACTAATTAATCTCAAATAAGCAAGCCTTGCGAGTTTTTTTTTTGTAGTGCATGCAGAAGCAAATTATGTTGATCAGAAGAAGAACTGTTCAATAAGTATGGAGAATTTCTTTAGAGGTTTAGTGATAGAAATAGATGTGTGGTTTCTTTGGACTTGATGCAAGAATGAAGTGCTTAAGTGAAATATTAGGGATACACTTAGCAACAGGTGGACTGGATAGACCTATGGTATAATTTCAGAGAAAGGGTTGATTATGTGCTAGAGCTGGGCTCCACTTAAACAGGTTAGACAGAGGATGTTTGGGGATGCTCTAATCATACACATTAAAGATAGTTTAAACTTGTTGTGGTGAGGGAGCTTGAGAATTTGAGTATAAACAAATTGATAGGGCAAGAGGAAATTTTGAACAAATTCAGGGCATAGTTTAAGTAATATTTTTAAAGATAATTCTGTGAGATTTAAGAATAAATCTATAATTGCAGGATTAAGAATAAATTTTCTAATGTTAGGAGTATAATGAACAAAATAGATGAATTTGGACCTTTAGTTGAAATTAATTTATTATTAATCAGTAATGTGAATATCATTGAAAAAGCTTAAATAGGGGAATATGTGAGGAAGAGTTATTGTTGCATAATTAGGTTTAATATTTTGGTACATGTTGAGAAACTTTAGTTTTAAGGCCTGTAGATAAGATTTATCATTAATGAATTGGAACAATAAGTTTAAAGGTGATGTGGGACAGGTTTGGGAAATATTAAAAAAAATATTGCTTCTAATTAAGATAGGGATGTTCCTGAAAAAAAGAAAAAGGATAAGGAAAATCAAACAGAACTGTCTTATTAAAGACATAAAAGAGGAAATCCAGGATAAATGTTTTAAGTTTAAGAATTTTAAATTGAAGGATAAGTTGGAAGACATACAGAATTTTAAGAAGGCTAGGAACTTAGTGAAGAAAAATTTGGGAAGTCCAAAGAGACTTATGAGAAAGAGCTGGTGGATAATGTTAAAAATGTCATTAAATACTTTTTACATGTATTAAAGATAAACAAAATGTTAGAATGGGGATGCCAATGGCAAGATTATTGTTGAGGACTATGAGATGGCTAAGCTATTGTTAAGGATGATGAGATGGCTAAGCTATTGAATTTTGTCTTCCGCTCTTATAATAGAAGATAATTTGCTATTTTTGGCAAATCTTCTGATCGAGAGGAAAAGTTGCTATTCAGCAGCGTCCCACCATCCACAATGACCAATTGACTGTAACTCTTATGATTCATCCGTACCTGAAAGTTCAGGGAAAATTTTGTGGTATCACAAGGATTCAGACTCGGCTTGTCATCTCTAAAATTAGAGTTCTACCACAGGGCTAGCCCATGTCCAAGAAGGTATTAGCAACATTCTTGACCTTAAACATTCTATGGGAAGTATTGGAATTGACCTGAGTCATATGGATATTACTCCTTTGTGGTAAGTAGAAGGATTGAGAGATTAAAAGTAAATGAAGCACCAGGGCCGGACAAGGTTTACCATGGGGTTTTAAAGGAGGTCAAAGATCAAATGTGTGTGTTTTTCATTTTTGGTAGGTCAATAGAAAGATGATGTCTAAGGAATGGGGAGTTGCTTATGTTATCCCTGTTTTTAAAATGGTGATAAAAAGTTGCTGTGGAAATTATAGGCCAGTTAGTCTTACTTTTGTAGTGAGAAAAATTCTATAGAGTGATAAAGAAGCTTTATAGAATCATGGAATGAAAGGTGATATTATAAACAAAAGCAAACATGGAATCATCAAAGTGAAATACTGACTTACTAATTTGTTATTTCTTCAAGGATGTTACTTGTTATTTGGATGAGGGAAAGGGCTCAGATTTGGTATACTTAGATTAGAAAAAAGCTTTCATATGGCACCAGACAAAAAAATTACCAAAAAAAATTAAATTAGTAGGGGTTGGGGGGGGGAAACTAGTTAATTGGATTGTAGAGGGGTTAGATGAGAGAAAGCAAATGTTTGTTAATGGAGTACAGTCAAAGTGGACCATTATTATTACTAGTGGAATACCTCAGGGGTAAGTGCTTGGACCTATGCTCTTTATCATTTACTTTAGCATAACTTGTAAATTTTGCTGGTGGCATTAAACTGTGTATATTTCTAGCTGTCTTGATGATGTTGATGTATTACAGAATGACTTGGACCAGTTGGCAGATTGGACAAATATTTGGCAAATGGCCTTTAATTATAATAAGTTCAAGGTAATGCATTTGGGTTATTATAATTTGGATCACATTTAGTATAGATGGAAATCAACTCAATATCTGATAGAAAAGAATGGTGCAGAGCTTGTTTGCAATTTTTAAATCCAGTAAAATGTATTTATCGGTGTATTGATCAGAAGTCAATATTGATAATTATTGCTCTATACATACCATTAGCTAGGAAGAAAGGATATTGATTTATTAGAAGAATGGGTTCAGAGGAGGGCTACTAGGATGATTCCAGGGATGGCTTAAGATCTCTGAACTTATTTTATCTTGAGAAAAGAATGGTAAGAGATCTCTTTATTGAAGCTTACAAAATTATCTGGGAGATAAGTAAGTCCTCTGATGTCTTTGTGCTATCTTCTGAAGATAATAGGATGAGAGGTCACAAGGTTAAGATTTGGAAAAGACAGGTTAATGTCTAGTTAAGACAGTTTTATTTTTCCAACCGGGTGATTGAGTTATGGAATGTGTTGCTGTTTGCAGTAGTAAAAAGAATGGCACTTTTACAGAAGATTAATGATTTCCTGAATAGCAACTGATGCATTTAATTTAATAATTTTCCCAAGGGTGGGTGGGCAAGGACAACCTTTATTAACAAAAAAAATTATCCCTTGTTGTCCGTAGGTTATGTTAAATAGTGTTGTATAGCATATTGTATGTTTTAAAGATATTTTAGATAGCGTAATCATGGCACAATTTTGGATTTAGTGGACTGCTCCTTCCTGTTTCTAGAGTAGAATGATATATCTGCTTCTATACTGATGCTTTGATTTCAAAGAGTCCACATTATAGAAGCCAAAACGTTGTTCACTCTAGAAACATACAAGCACAGTCTATTAAAGCCCAAACTCTGTACCATGTTGTATGGTAATTTTTCTCTATAACTGATAGTTATTTATTTCCCAAATGTAATTAGTTTTATTTAACATTGGTATGTAGTACTTGTTTGTTTTTTTTGGAACATTTACATATCTATATAAACTGTTTCTATGTTACTTGATAGTATAGGAAAATGGTAATTTTTGTTTAGGTAAAGACTCCATGTGTATGATGGTTTTGTATTATTATAAATACTAGTGCAGGAACAAACTTTCTGGTTTGGAATTTATGACAATTTATGACCTTGTGGCAATAAGGTGTAGTTTATGATTTTAGGACTTATTCTGAGTTTTAAGCTATTGTTTATTATTCAATATCACAATTAAGGCTTCTTCATAGTGAAGCCTTTTTAAGAGTAAATATAGGTAATACTGAATAAAAATAAAACAAAAATATTTAGCTACTGACAGAACTCATTACTGATATCTTAGAAATTGAGCTGAGTATTCTTTTTATCTTTGAAAATTTGTCATGAGTGTGGAATTTAAAAGAACTTCTCTAAGAAACACAATGCTAGAATAATCTAATTGTTCTTCTCAGAAATCTACTTTACACACTGTGCAAAAAAATTAAATCAATAATGTTTATATATTAATTATGTTGTTTTGCAAACTTGGCACAAAGGTACAGTAAACAGATGCAAAATGTTTTTTAGAAGTTAATGAAGTAACAATACGTAAATATGTTTCTAAAATAGTGTGATTCATAAGGTGTGAAACACTGAAACATAGATTCTTTTTGCTTTTTTCTCTGTCTGTTACCAGCTGTTACATTTTTTTACAGTGTGAAGTGGATAAACTGGATGTATGTGAGTATTAATAACCATATTTGAATTATATATTTATATATGAATAGCTTAGATGCTGCATGTCCAGTTTTGCCATTTTGAGAAAATCAGTTTTTTTATGCAGCTCTCACAAAGAATGTAATGAATTTTAAAAAATGAATGTTTATCAAATAAAACTATAAGTTAGTATTTGAAAGCCTTTAAAACCAAACTTTATTCTTGGGCCAACATGATTTGTCTCTGTCAGCCTTTTTAGTGATAATACTGCATATCCATAAGTACAATTGGCAGCTGAATTTTGTCAGGAATGTTGTACAGCTACACTGAATTTTGCTTCTAAGCTGCTTGTACATATTTGTTCATGTTTATAGTTTTAACACTTTGTCATTAGGATATTAAATTGCTGCATGTAAAATACCCCACTCATGAACTGATAAAGAAATCATGATTTACTTTAATGCTGTCATGAATTAAAGTTATGTTTAATGTATATATATATTTATATATAAGGGTCAGAGCCAGAATCATTGTCAGCTTTCACAAGTTCAATTCTCTCTACAAGTGTGAAAACACTGGAGTGATGTGATGTCATTTTGGGTCCATTTTCTAATGAAAATCAAGCAATTTTTTAACTGCAAGTATTACCGATATTTTAAATAGCAACATATACCATGTTGGATATGATTGGATGGCTGAAATTGTCATGTGGGCGGATTAGGCTTTGTCTACTGGCTTTGTGCACTCATTGTGAATTTCTAGTGGGAAGTTCAAACTGCACTATATGATCGCCATACAGCGACAGGCATGCCTAAAGGGTTAAACATAATAATGTGTGTGTGACTGAGAGTTTGTGAATTAAAAGAATATGTACCTTTGTGTTTATAGTTTTGGTATTAATTCCACACTCCTGCTTATTACCTTACTTTGTTAAACATCAATGAGGAACTGCTAAGAAACATCAAAAACGAGTGCAACAATGGACCACCAAATGCTGTATTACCCTTAATTCCTTCCTGTAACCCAAGCATAATAGAAAACATATTTGTATCATCATTAGTGACCCAGGCATAATAGAAAACATATTTGTATCATCATTAGTGACCCAGGCATAATAGAAAACATATTTGTATCATCATTAGTGACCCAAACATAATAGAAAACGTTTTCTATTATGTTTGGGTCACTAATGATGATACAAATATCATGTTTTCTATTATGCTTGGGTCACTAATGATGATACAAATATGTTTTCTATTATGCCTGGGTTACTAATGATGATACAAATATTATGTTTTCTATTATGCTTGGGTCACTAATGATGATACAAATATGTTTTCTATTATGCCTGGGTTACTAATGATGATACAAATATGTTTTCTATTATGCTTGGGTCACTAATGATGATACAAATATGTTTTCTATTATGCTTGGGTCACTAATGATGATACAAATATTGTTTTCTATTATGCTTGGGTCACTAATGATGATACAAATATTATGTTTTCTATTATGCTTGGGTCACTAATGATGATACAAATATTATGTTTTCTATTATGCTTGGGTCACTAATGATGATACAAATATTATGTTTTCTATTATGCTTGGGTCACTAATGATGATACAAATATATAATATTTGTATCATCATTAGTGACCCAAGCATAATAGAAAACATATTTGTATCATCATTAGTGACCCAAGCATAATAGAAAACATATTTGTATCATTATTAGTGACCCAAACATAATAGAAAACATGATTGGTATTTATATCAGGTAATTTCATTTTTGGAAACTGTACTTTGGGGGAAACTAGCAGATGTTGTCAGGGTATCTTTAATGATCACCAAAGACCACATACTCCTTTTCAGTATGAAACAAAACCAGCTGTTGCTATACATCAAATTAACTGCAAAGAAGTAATCCAATGAAATAAAACAGAAGTTACTGACAGTGAACCAAATGCCACAAGATGGGAGTATAAAAGAAACTACAGTATATATAATACATCAAAACAAGAAATTCTGAACCAAAATATGGCTTGAATTGTGAAGGTGGTAGAACACATACCGTTGCATTGTGGGATAAAATGCTATTGTTTTAGCATTGTGTCTCAGTTCTTATTACATGTGTTGCATAAATTGCTTGTAGTAATTTGTTTCTTTGACTTTGTTATATTTACATATAAACTTTAAATTTACTTAATGTTCAGTACGATTGTATACGTTTAATAATGTATGACCGTGTCTTTGGAGAGACGTACTGTTTTTCTATTCTTTCTTCTTCTTACAAACACGTTTCAATCGATCACCATTCCTTCATTTCTCGGTGAATTGACTTGAAACTTGGTAGGTTTGTACCTTGGTCCAATATTCCAAGACATAATTTATATATTTTTTTATTTAGGCCTTTTTTTAAGGATTTTATAGGGTCAGTGGTCTAACAACCCCAAAAAAATGTATATTTTGAGCTCCTGTGCAGTTATATTTACAGCAATCAAGATGAAAATTGGAATAAATATAAATTTTCATGCACTCAACACAATGATATACAAACAAAATTGGACTTTTCCATCTTAAGTCTTTTTAGGGGGATCAGAACTCGCAAAAAAGTGTAATTTTGGGGTTTTTGCTCAATTACTTGGCAGTATTATGACTAATTTACGTGGGATTTGGTACAAAGATACTTTTGTATAGGTCCCGTACATATACACACACAAATGTGGGATATGCCTATTTTTGGTTATTTTAGGGGGGGTCAAAAGGTTATATAAACCCATAATTTTAGGTTTTTTTGACAATTACTCTGGCATATTTTGGGCAAATTTACATGGGATTTGGTACAAATATACCTTTTTACAGGTCCCTAACTGAGACATAGCCAATTTTGGAATTTTTGTCTTTTTGCTGAATGTTTCAGTAAGGAAAACACAAACTATTGAATAGTTGGAGGGTTAGGATTTAGTGATCTGTTGTCCATTTTATGAAGGAGGGTGGGAATCGGGATGCTTTTCCATAATGTTGAATCAAATGGCAACTTAATACAGCCTTGATATTCATGTATTTATCTCTGTATTATGTATTTTATTTAAAACAGATGGAAATACTGAGAGTGCAGGGGATTCAAAAGCTGCAAGTCAACCACAGAGCCCATCAAATAAGAAACGAAGAACTTCAAATACAGGGGTTCCTACCCAGGTAAGTTATGTAGTAGAGTTTTGTTTTATGTAATTATAATTCTTGATATTTGTACAAGGTGTAGAATTTGTACTAAATCCTAATAAAATGTTTGTAAGAGTACATTCCAGGTGATGAAAGATGTGATTTGTCTGTGAATTTGTAAAAAAAATTTTTTTTGTACATTTTTTTCATTTTTTACTACAATTATGATTATATATATATATATAATTTGTACATAGAAATAATGAAATGTGATATGAATCTTATATCAAAACATGTAGAAAATTATAAAAACCCTATAACCGGAGTGCTTTCGAAAGGTCCTTCTTTAGAAATCACTTGTGTAATAGTGTTTTTATCATTTTGTATCAAGACTTGTTGAACCTTTGTGTTTTTCCAACATCATGAATCAAAACATTTAAAGTTTTATGAGAACACACCCATAAATCAGATTTGTGCTTGTGGTGCTTGCATGTTAGGGGTCTTTGGGTCAGATTTTCAGATAATGTTCAGTACCTAAGTCTTCTCTTGATTCTTAAGTTGTCTCTCTCAAGAAATAGAACACTGACTTGTTTTTTTCATAAGTTATATTTAAAGTGAATTTTGAATAATTTACTAACAAAAGAACTAAGTTGATTATCTAACTTTATCCTGTAGACTTTAGTAATTGCATTGTCATTCATGAACGCACCACTGGGAGGTGCACCATTATTAAGAAACATTATTCTTCATTGACTCATTCCTGAGACATGCTGTATTTATTAACAATATGTTTCTTAATAATGGTGCACCCCCAGTGGTGCATGTTTCTTAATAATGGTGCACCCTCCAGTGGTGCATGTTTCTTAATAATGGTCACCACCAGTGGTGCATGTTTCTTAATAATGGTGCACTCCCAGTGGTGCAGGGTATGCCTGCGGGCA